TAAATATGCAAAAACTAGGAGATAGAAGAAAAAAGAGGTGATATGATCACTACATACAAAATAATAACAGGAATCGATAAAATTGATAGGGAAGAATTCCTGAGATCCGGAACTTCAAGGACAAGAGGTCATAGACTTAAACTCACGAAACAAAGCTGCCAGAGAAATATAAGAAAATTCACTTTTGTAAACAGAGTGGTAGACGATTGAAACAAGTTAGGCGAGAAGGTGGTGGAGGCCAAAACCGTCAGTAATTTCAAGGTGTTATATGACAAAGAATGCTGGGGAGACAGGACACCACAAGCGTAGCTCTCATCCTGTAACTACACTTAGGTAATTACACAGAAATCACAATAGTGTGATACATCAAATGAGCAAATTCACAAGGGCCGTGACGAGGGTTCGAACCTACGTCCGAGAGCACCTCTGACGCTGCCTTAATCAACAGCGCTACGACATGGTAAAAGAATTGCAACCAGAGTAATTACCTAAGTGTAGTTACAGGATGAGAGCTACGCTCGTGGTGTCCCGTCTTCCCAGCACTCTTTGTCATATAACGCTTTGAAACTACTGACGGTCTTGGCCTCCACCACCTTCTCACCTAACTTGTTCCAACCGTCTACCACTCTGTTTGCGAAAGTGAATTTTCTTATATTTCTTCGGCATCTGTGTTTAGTTAGTTTAAATCTATGACCTCTTGTTCTTAAAGTTCCAGGTCTCAGGAAATCTTCCCTATCGATTTTATCAATTCCTGTTACTATTTTGTATGTAGTGATCATATCACCTCTTTTTCTTCTGTCTTCTAGTTTTGGCATATTTAATGCCTCTAACCTCTCCTCGTAGCTCTTGCCCTTCAGTTCTGGGAGCCACTTAGTAGCATGTCTTTGCACCTTTTCCAGTTTGTTGATGTGCTTCTTAAGATATGGGCACCACACAACTGCTGCATATTCTAGCTTTGGCCTAACAAAAGTCGTGAACAATTTCTTTAGTATTTCGCCATCCATGTATTTAAAAGCAATTCTGAAGTTAGAAAGCGTGGCATAGGCTCCTCGCACAATATTCTTTATGTGGTCCTCAGGTGATAGTTTTCTATCTAGAACCACCCCTAGATCTCTTTCTTTATCAGAATTCTTTAAAGATTTCTCACATAATATATAGGTTGTGTGGGGTCTATGTTCTCCTATTCCACATTCCATAACATGGCATTTATTAACATTAAATTCCATTTGCCAAGTGGTGCTCCATATACTTATTTTGTCCAGGTCTTCTTGAAGGGCATGACAATCATCTAAGTTTCTTATCCTTCCTATTATCTTAGCATCATCAGCAAACATGTTCATATAATTCTGTATACCAACTGGTAGATCATTTATGTAGACAATAAACATCACTGGTGCAAGAACTGAACCCTGTGGTACTCCACTTGTGACATTTCTCCAGTCCGATACATTGCCTCTGATTACTGCCCTCATTTTTCTATCAGTCAGAAAATTTTTCATCCATGTTAGAAGCTTACCTGTCACCCCTCCAATATTTTCCAGTTTCCAGAACAACCTCTTATGTGGAACTCTGTCGAAAGCCTTTTTTAGGTCCAGATAGATGCAGTCAACCCAACCATCTCTTTCCTGTAATATCTCTGTGGCTCGATCATAGAAACTGAGTAAATTCGATACACAGGATCTTCCAGATCGAAAACCATACTGTCTGTCTGATATTATATCATTTCTCTCCAGGTGTTCTACCCATTTAGTTTTGATTAGTTTTTCCAATATTTTCACTATTACACTTGTCAATGATACAGGTCTATAATTGAGGGGGTCTTCCCTGCTGCCACTTTTGTAGATTGGAACTATGTTAGCCTGTTTCCACATGTCTGCTACGACTCCTCTACACAGGGATGCCTGATAGATTAGGTGAATTGGAATGTTGAGCTCAGATGCACATTCTCTCAGAACCCATGGTGAAACTCCATTTGAGCCAATTGCTTTGTTCTTATTGAGCTCCTTTAGCATATTTTCCACTTCATCTCTAGACACCTCTATCCGCTCTATGTTGTTCTCTGGAATTCTTATTGTGTCTGGTTCTCTGAAGATTTCATTTTGTACAAACACACTTTGGAACTTTTCATTTAATGTTTCACACATTTCCTTTTCATTTTCTGTGAATCTGTTTCCCATTTTCAACCTCTGGATATTTTCCTTTACCTGCAATTTGTTGTTTATGAATTTGTAGAATAGGCCCGGTTCTGTTTTACATTTATCCGCTATCCCTTTTTCAAAATTTCTTTCTGCCCCTCTCCTTACTGCCGTATAGTTATTTCTCGCATCTTTGTATCGCTGGTATGTTTGGGGGTTTGGCCTCTTCCTATATTGATTCCATTTTTGTGTCTTTTGGTCTCTGGCCCTCTCGCAATTTCTGTTGAACCAATCCTGTTTTCTGGCCCTGCATCTCTGTTTTGGTATGAATGTTTGTGTGCCTTCATCGTATATTTTTTAAAAATTTGGCATACATTTCATTTACTTCCCTGCCTAGCAACAAGTCTGTCCAATTACACTCATTAAAATTTTGAAGTTCCCCATAGTGACCTCTCCTTAAATCGAGTTTATCAACTGTTTCAATGTCCCCATTTTCTTCTAGATGATATCCTAAAGCATATTTAATGTCTAACAGGACTTGATCACTCTTTCATAAGGGAGGAAGGTACTGGATGTCAAATATCTCTTCTTCTTTCCAGGTGAATACTAGATCCAATACTGATGGTACATCTCCTTCCCTCATTCTTGTGGCCTGCTTGATGTGTTGCTACAAGAATGTCTCCAGAATGAGGTTTACAAATCTACATGGCCAAAAGTCCTCTGTTCTTGCTTCATAGGCCTCCCAGTCTATTGCTTTAAAGTTGAAGTCCCCCAGTATCAACAGTCGTGATTTATCTTTATCTGCTTGTACAATAATATCTCTCATGACCATTATGAGGCCCTCTCGTTTGTCATCCAGTTCTTCCTTTGTCCATGTGTTGCTTGCTGGTGGGCTGTAGGCATTTAAAATTATCAGCTTATCATCCTGATTCCAGACCTGCAATGCCATTATGTCAATATCTCGAGGGTTTTCAAATATTAACTCTCTTACCTTCAGGTGTTTTTTCACCAGTACAGCCACTCCTCCTCCTCCCTTCCTAGTTTTCCTGTCATGTCTCCAAACTGAATAGCCTCTTGGGAATATTACTTCATTTATTTTATTTCCTTCAAGTTTCGTCTCTGATAATGCGACAATATCTGGGACCCTAAGCTGGATTATATCTTGCAACTCCAAAGTTTTTGACCTCACTCCATCTATGTTGGTATATACAATTTTCAGGAACATGTTCCCTTTCCCTTTGCTCTTTACTCCCCCTTCCACTACTGATCTTGTTGCTTTGTTTTTATGTACCATTTCACAAGCTTTCCCGTCCCTGTCACTTTGTAGAAAAAAAATTTCTGCCTTCTTCATTTCTCTCTCCATTTAGACGTTTTGCCTCAATTAGGTTCATTTTCAGCTTTTCTCTGTCTTCCTTGGAGAGGTCTTGTCTTATTGACCAAAGTTTGCCAACCTCATCACTCTGCAGTTTCCTGGCATTTCTAAGCACTTCCATTATGTTTTTCACTCCATTAAACGTCACCCTTAAGGGGCGGTTCTTGTCTTTCTCGTATTTTCCTATTCTTCTAAAATCACTGACATTTTCCTTTGAGCCTTCTCCTAAACCTAGTATTTTCTCTATGATTTTCATCTCTTCTGCCGCTCGGTCCACCCTAGATGAAATTTCCTTCTCTAAACATCCAAAAATGATAATGGACTTACTTCTATCTGCAGTGTTTTGTACTAATTTACTGTTGGTAACCAGTTCTTTCCTAATTGCTTGCCTAATTTCTGCTTCTTGTTGGTCATTTTTGGTTTTGACTTCCGAACACACTTCTTTGATAGTCTCTTTCTCTTTTACAACTTGAGCATATGTCACTTTTATTTCTTCTTTATACTTTTCTAGATCTTTATTCACCTCCCCTATGTGAGTTGTCAGTGAAGTTTCCAGTTGGAGATCCTTGCCTAACTCTATATTAGCTCTCAGGCTACCTGGGAGTTGTTCACCATATGAGTCTATTTTCTTGTTTATTTCTTCAAAGTCACAACACTTCACTTTTCACACCTCATTTTCTTTCACTAGTTCCTTGATTTGCTCCTCCTGATTTGTTACCTTGTCTGTTAATGCAGTAATAATCTTACCTTGCTGAAGCATACTCCCTTTTAGAGTGCAAAGCTCACTCCTAAGAGCTCCATTGTCCTCTTCGTTTTTAAGCAAATTGTGTCTGCTAGATTGTTATTAAATATTAAATTAAATTGTGTCTGTAAATTGTTAAGCAAAGGTGTCAGCTAGCTGGTGTGTGGCAGCCATTCTTGTTGTTTGGACTCACCATACCAACTTAGTGAACTTTGGTATGAACTTTGGCTTTGAAGTTGGTATGAACTGAACACCATACCAACTTCGTTGTGGTGAACAAAACATGCAGATACTTATATATAATGTGTGTGTGTATATAGTGTAATAACAGCAAAACTATTTGTTTATTGTTTTATGAAAATAATTCAGTAATTTAATAACTAATATGCACACCATACTTTTCAGTATAGCGATGGTTCACACATTTTATTATAGAAATATATCACACTACACATTATTGAATAATATTACTACAAAAAAAAAGAGAAAAAATAAATCAAAGACATTGAAATTTTTTTTTTTTTTTTGCTTGCGCCTAGCGGTGTTGCAGGCGCCTCCCAAGGGTTAAGGTAAACTCTTGTTGCCTCTGAAAATGTGAAAACTGCAGTGAAAGTTTAATTAAAGCTCACAGATGCTTGTTCTTTATTTAATTTATATAGATAACATGGTAATAAGGGTATAAAACACTTTCTATTATTGTTCAGAGAGTTGAATTCAAGTCCCTTTACTCTCTCAATCTTTTCTTTTGCAGCACGTCTCTCCACACTTCGAAGCCTTTAGTGACCAAAAGACTTGAAAACAACAGCTGCATTGCCAACGCTAATTGTCATAAAACTTGGGTAAGTTTCAGAAATACTGTATATTGTATATGCGGTACTATATACTTTTGTTCTTCCACCCCTGTTTTTTTTCTTTATTATTTGAAGATTAAATGTTACAAGTTACACATTGGTGAATACAGTGAAAGGTTATGTGTTGTGGATCTCTTGGAGCTCCTCAGTTTCCAGACAGGAACCAAGGACGTAGGATGCCACACTGGACCACCACACTGAGGTGCTGAAACAGGAAACAGGCCACTCTCAGGTCTCTAGTAGTGTCAATGAGCCAAGAACCCAATTCTCAGAGAAAGCTTAAGGCACCTATACCCCAGGGACTAGGCATCTCAGATGCTGTGGAAACAAATGTGTACTGACTTTATATTTGCCTGTATTTGTTTGATTTTATAGTTTCCCTGTGGTTTGCCATGCCACATGTCCCATCAACACCAAAGTGTATACAGTGGTACCACAGCTTACAAATTTAATCCTTTCCCAGAGACGGCTTGTAAGCCGAATACTGTATTCGTTAAACTGAAGCAAATTTCCCCATAAGAAATAATGTAAATTGAATTAATCCGTTCCACACTCCCCAAAAAATAAACTTCAAAGTAAATATTATACCTAATTCACTGAAATCTTCAGTACTAAAGTATGTACAAGTTATTACCTTTACTGATGACTCTTGTTGGCATATGGAAGACAGTGAGGAGGGGGTGAGGAGGAGAGGTGTTAGTGTTTGGAAGGGGAATCCCCTTACTGTTTGTTTTTCTCACTAAAAACCTGTTTAGCGACACTTGTTTTTCCCTACATTCTAACACTTGTTTGCATTGAGACATCCCATTGTCATTAACCCTTAACATGCTCGGGGTTTAATATCCTGTCATCCCCACAGGCGCATGTCATTTTGAAAAAAAAAAAAAAAAAAATTCTTTCTAACCTGTTAATTTGTGTTCACTGATCACGGGAAAAATAATAAAAAAATCGTAAGTGGCATATATTGCCCGTTATAGGGCGGGGAAGTCTGGCAAATTATAGGCGCTGACTCAGCGTGCGTCCCAGGCGGTCTGTTGCTCGCAAGCTGTCAGGCCGGAGTTGCCACAAAGAGATAATTACCGAATTATTTCAATGTCTCTGATTGATTTTTCATACTTTTTTTGCTGTAATATTATTCAATAGTGTGTAGTTTGATATATTTATATAATAAAATGAGTAAATCATTGCTGTACTCAAAAATATGGTGTGCATATTGTTGATTCAATTATGTTCATCAATCAGTGAACAAATACTTTGTCGTTGTTATTACATTATAAGCACAGGTTATATATAAGTATCTGCATGTTTTGTTCACTATAACGAACCACTAAGTAGCTACAGTGGTACCTCGGAATGCGAGTGTACCTGTATGCGAGTTTTTCGGAAGACGAGCAGGATTTCCTCGGAAAATATGTCTCGGAAGGCGAGGGTTACCTCGGAACGCAAGTTTGTTGATACGTGTACAGGCCGACTGGCGTGTGGTGGCATGGCGATCGCGCCTCAGTTTACCAGTGTCTCGTGTCCAGTGACTATCCCACCTGAATTCTTCACAAGGATTTACAGTTTTTTATCAGTTTTTTGGCCATTTGAGCATAAAAGTTGTCATTATATATCTTGCCATGGGTCTCAAGAAAGCCATTGCTAAGGTTCATCCTAAGAAAATAGCTGTGAGTAGAGGCAGTAGAGGATGTCCCTTCTTGATTAAGAAAATGTGTGAAGTATGGGAAGAACTGCAAAGTTTTGTTGAAAAAACTCACCCAGATAAAGCTGTAGCAGGCCGTTGCATTGACCTTTTAAATGATAATGTGATGTCTTACTACAGACAAGTGTTAAAATGTAGGGAAAACAAGTGTCATTAGACAAATTCTTAGTAAAACAAGCAAGTCCTAGTGGTATGCAGGCAAAATGTGCCAGAGTGTGCATATCAGTGAAGTCCTCACTGCCTGATGTGATAATGGAAGGGGATTCCCCTTTCAAACAGTAACTCCTCTCTTCCTCCCACCTCCTCACCATCTTCCATACGCCATTCAACAGCAAGGTAAGTAATAACTTGAACATAGTTTTGTAGGTTTATTTAGATGAATTAGGTATAAAAATTTAGTTTGATGTGGGTTTTTGGGGTAGTCAGGAACGGATTAATTCATTTCCCTTTATTTCTTATGGGGAAATTAGCTTCGGAATGCGAGTTTTCGGAATACGAGGCGTCTCCAGGAACCAATTAAACTCTTAAACTGAGGTATGCCTGTATTATGAGTCAAAAAGTAACGAGGAGTGACCGCCGTGTACCAGCCAGCCACTCCCGCCCTCCCTCCAGTCATCTGACTCACCCACATTCTCCTCCCACAATAATGTTTTTGCTATAATTCACTATATACAGACGTTATGTATAAGTATCTACATGTTTTGTTCACCATAAATGTACATCTAAGCTTGTATGGTGAGTAAAGGCACAAAGATGTGGCTACTCATACAGTCAGCTGATCGGCGGCCGCCCTCAAGGCCAGACGCACTAATATTTCTCCTCCAACAATACTGTGTGGTGTTATTACGCTATATACACACATTATATATAAATATCTACCTGTTTTATTCACCATACTTGTACAAATAAACTGGTATGGTGCCCAAAGACCATCGTGGTAACCAGTAAACAACACCGTCGTCTGTACGGTGGCGTCGTGCAGACGACGATACTGCCCTCACCAAAATGGCGGCTCCAAACCTTCTCTTGCTGTTTATACCCTCTATACACACGTTATATATATGTATCTACATTTGTGTTCACCATAGCAAACCACTTAACTGGTATGCTGAGTGCAGTCAATAAAAGGTGGCCACACACAGTCAAAAGACATCGCCACCACCCTTCCTCCCACAGCATTACTCCTCCTTCCATGGCGCACAGCGCTAAATATCACCACAATCCTGCTATTATCAGAACCCTGGTCAGTTTTATCACAGTCAGGGGTCTTCTGTAATAATATCATCGCTACATAATAGCATGAACAAGTATACTTTGGCATTTTTAGGCGTTGCTGTGGTCACAAGCTGAACAGCAGTGCTGTGAGCTCATGCTGCGTGCGTCAGGCTTGGTTGCTCACTCAATACTGAGGCCAATAACACCTGGGAGTTTGGCCCACGATTTTTTTTAAAAATGGCGTCTGTTTACAAGATCCCTGATGAAGGTGTGGTGAACCCCGTGTATCCGCGGGCTGTTTAAATCTTGCATAGTACTCCAACACATCATATGACGTGATGCGCAGTTGACTGGAACAATGTCCAGCACGTCATATGACGTGATGCGCACTTTTAGGTTTAAATAGGTTAACACAATGGTCTGCTACAGCTTGATTTGGGTGACACTTTTCAGCAAAACTTTGCAATTCTTCCTATACTGCACACATTTTCTTAATAAATGAGGAAGGGACATCCTCTACTCTACATCAACAACCCTCATACCATTTTCATGTTTACGAATGATCGCTTGTTTCTTCTCTATGGTCATTCTCACTTGTGTTTTCTTGGCTTGAACCTTACCACTGGCTTTCTTGGGACCCATGGCGAGATATATAATAACAACTTTTATGTTCAAATACCCAAAAATCAAAAAAACTGTAATTCTTTACAAAGAATTCAGGCGTGATTGTCACTAGGCGGGAGGCAATGGTAAACTGAGGCACGATCGCCGTGCCACCATGCGCTAGGTCATAAACAACATAAATATGTCCTTAACAAATGCATTATGAATTTTTGCCAAAAACAGGTGCGCAGCGCAGGGGGTTAAGAACCCATAAGGGGCTGTATCCAGGTCGTTAAATGCGGAGCTCTGCTAAATCTGAAGTTGTTGAAGTCGGTAATATTTCAAGTAACATTCACGTAAGGTATGTTTTAAATAACTAAAATGAAATAAAGATTATTGTGTAATTGCGTTCCAAGATAGTGCCATGCCGACAATTAAGCCAGCTGTTGGCTGCTGGATGGCTGATGTGTGAACACGGTCTGATAAAGTCCAGATGGGTGGAAAAAATCAGTTACTGTAATTCCTTTGTATTTCAAAATATTTTGTGTCTATCAATCAATGATTGTTAATGTTTTCTCAATAAAATTTTAGAGATGTGATTTATCTTACCCTGTACAATACAGGTAATGTATTTTTGTTATTTTTAAGGTTACAACACAGGCTGTGGGCGCCAGGCCATGCAGTGGTGATCGAACCTTGTCAGTAACCCAGAGCTAGCCGAGACAAAATCTTGCAAGTTCACCTTTTCTGTGCTAATGATAGAATATATATTTGCAGAGACTAATATGTACCTATTGTTGAAAAAAAACAATTAATATGTTGTAATACTGTAATAAATTTGATAGACTGACTTTATGAAGCTGAAGATTACGAAGCTGTGAAGATTTCATCATCATCTGTGGCGCTTATTTTGTATTGCTCAGTATACATACAGTACGTACACTTATTTACAGGCATTCACTTCACATAACAGCCAGGCCTACTACTAATTCGCATATGATGTATTGCACTTTAATAAAAAAAAAAAAAGTTGACTAACAGCTGTAACGCACTTGTACAATTGAAACTTATTTCTGTATTTACACTGTTTACAGTATATCCTTTTGTCAAGGCTTAATTATTTATTAACACTTACAATACTGTACTCTATCAACACTTTTTACACTAATATGTATTTCAATCATATTTTATATCGTTAGTGGATGCTGCCGAATTGTCGATGGGAATTCAGCATTTGGCGGGTGCAGCATGGCTTGTAGGGCATTCATTGCTGGCAGATGCTGCAGGACTTATTGATGGGAATTCAGCATCGGCGGGTGCAATATGGCTTGTAGAGCAGTCATTGCTGCTGGATGTTGCACGACTTGTTGATGGGAATTCTGCTTCAGCAGATGCAGCAGGGCTTGTAGAGCATTCGTTGCTGGCGGATGCTGCACAACCTGTTGAATTCCCAGTGGCTGCAGCATGGCTTGTGGATGAAGATGTTTCACGGACCGTTGAAATCATGAACTTATCAATTTTTGTCTGAATCTGATTATCTCTGGCTAACGTGCTGAGACAGTAATGTCCCTCAAAATTGAAGCTATCCGTGTGAGTCCACAGTGAACAATGAGGACACATGGCCCAACATAGTACATTCATGTCTGTGGGGAAAAAAATACCTAGTGCTTATACTATGAAAGGTATTTAACCCTTGGGCCGCTAAGGGCCATTTTGCCTTCAACACCCACAGGCACAAAAAAAAAGAAAAAATCCAAAAAATTTTTTCGTCTTATAAAAGTGTTCATTTGTGTTCCCTGATCATGGTAAAAAAAAAAAAAAAAAAATCATGGGTGGCATATTTTGGCCACAATAGGGCGAGGAAGTCTGGCAAAAAAAAGGCGTTGACAGAGCAGTCGCCAGACGAAGTCTGTTCAGGCCGAGCTGTCAGGCGGGGGTTGCCACAAGATATTATTACCTAATTATTTCAATGTCTCTGATTGATTTTTTTTTTTGCAGTAATATTATTCAATAGTGTGTATTGTGATATATTTATATAATAAAATGTGTGAACCATCGCTGTACTCAAAATTATTGTGTTCATATTAGTGATTCAATTATTATGTTCATAAAACAATAAACAAATAGTTTTGCTGTTATTACACTATGTACATATGTTATGTATATACGTATCTGCATGTTTTGTTCACCATAACGAGCCACTAAGTTGGTATTGTGAGTCAAAAAGCAACGAAGAGAGGCCTTCACTCACCAGCCAGTCAGCTACTCACCACCACTCCCTCACTCACCAATATACTCCTCCAACCATACTGTTTTTGCTTTTATTCACTATACACAGACATTAAATATAAGTATCTACATGTTTTGTTCACCATAACTGTACATCTAAGCTTGTATGGTGAGTTCAAGCAATAAGAGACATAGCTACACTTACAACCATAGAGAATGTCTGCGACTACAGGAGAATAGGCAGATATGTAAAAGGGAAAGATCGACCTTTGAGGATCACCCTAAATGGTACCAAACAGATGGAAGAAGTACTAAGGAATGCTAGAAAATTACAAAGTGATGAGGATGGGAAAGTGTGGTCGTTAAGACGAGATCTTTCAAAAGAAGATAGAGAGAAGCTGAAACTGAACCTTGTCGAGGCAAAACGTTTAATGTATTGCGTGGTATCGGTAATGTTACTCAAATCATCTATATATATATATTGCACGGTCTAAGGGTTAATAACAAAATAAAGAATTTTGCTTAATTATATTGTGCATCACATCATATGACATGTTTAAGTACTATGCAAGATTTAAATGGCCCGCAGATACACGGGGTTCACCACACCTTCATCAGGGCTGACCCCTGAAGCTCATATCAAGAGAATAACATCAGCAGCATATGCCAGGTTGGAACGGCCTTTAGAAACTTGTGTAAGGAATCTTTCAGAACAGTATATACCACATATGTCAGACCAATCCTGGAGTATGCGGCTCCAGCATGGAGTCCATATCTAGTCAAGCATAAGACTAAACTGGAAAAGGTTCAAAGGTTTGCCACTGGACTAGTACCCGAGCTGAGAGGTATGAGCTATGAGGAGAGACTATGGGAATTAAACCCTCACTTCGTTGGAAGACAGAAGAGTTAGGGGGGACATGATCACCACATTCAAGATTCTCAAGGGAATCGACAGGATTGATAAAGACAGGCTATTTAACACAAGGGGCACACGCACTAAGGGACACAGGTGGAAACTGAGTGCCCAAATGAGCCACAGAGATATTTGAACTTTTTTAGTGTCAGAGTGGTTGACAAATGGAATGCATTAGGAAGTGATGTGGTAAAGGCTGACTCCATAAACAGTTTCAAGTGTAGATATGATAGAGCCCAATAGGCTCAGGAACCTGTACACCTGTTGATTGACGGTTGAGAGGCGGGACCAAAGAGCCAGAGTTCAACCCCCGCAAGCACAACTAGGTGAGTACAGTTAGGTGAGGGCTCTTGTAAACAGACGCCATTTATTTTTTTAATCATGGGCAACATTCCTGGATGTTGGGACCTCAGTACTGAGTGAGCTATCAAGGCTGGTGCACACAGCATGAGCTCACAGCACTACTGTTCAGCTTGTGACCACAGCATTGCCTAAAAATGTCAAAATATATAAATACCGTATATGCTATTATTTAGCGATGATAGTATTACAGAAGACCCCTGTAATGAAAATGTCCAGGATTCTGATAATAGCCGGATTGTTGTGATAATTAGCGCTGTAGTGAGAGGAGTAATGTTGGTGGGGAGGGAGGTAGCATTATATGCTGACTGTGTGTGACCACCTTTTACTGTCTGGACTCCCAATACCAGCTTAGTCGTTCACTGTGGTGAACAAAACATGCAGATACTTATATATAATGTCTGTATATAGTGAATAAAAACAAAAAACAGTATGGTGGGAAGAGAAGGTTTGCGAGTCAGGTGAGGTGAGGGAGGGAGGGAGTGGCAGCCAGTGGCGGGCTAGCTGGTGTGTGGTGGTCACTCCTTGCAGCTGTTTGACTCAGCATACCAACTTAGTGATTCCTTATGGTGAACACAAATGTAGATACTTATATATAATGTGTATATATAGTGTAATGACAGCAAAAGGAGTGTTGAGAGATGCCATTTTGGTGAGGGAGGTGGCAACATCTGCATGACTTGTCATGCTGGGTAAGGGTGGCTACTATGCTCTTTGGGCCCTATACTGCCTTAGTTGAACAGTTATGGTGAACAAAACATGTAGATACTTATATATAATGTGTGTATATAGGGTAATAACACCACAACAGTATACTCGAAGGAGGAATGTAAGTGCATCTTGCCTTGAACCAGTGATGATGGGAGTGAGGGAGGGAGCATGAGTTGTGTGTGGCCACCTGTTACTGTCTGCCATCACCATACAAGATTAGTGGTTCACTATAGGGAACACAAATGTAGATATTTATATATAACCTGTGTATATAGTGTAATAACCGACAAAGTATTCGTTCAATGTTTTATGAACATAATAATTGAATCAATAATGTGCACACCATAATTTTGAGTACAGAGATGATTCACACATTTTATATATTATATAAATATATCACACTACACACTATTGAATAATATTAGAGCAAAAAAAAAAAAACAAAGAAAAAATCAATCAGAGACATTGAAATAAAATTGTAATTACAGAGCACCACTTGGTTTCCGAACCTCTTGGGGACGAGACCTGTCGGTTGTCGTGTAAGTTCGTAAATGAGAAATGAAGGAAAATGGAGAGACAAAATTTAAAAATAAATCTAAGGGAAAAAATCGACAGGTTCATAGCATGAATGCGACAGTATTTTGTTTGCACTCACCAATTAGAGAAGTCCTTATCCACTTCTCCCTCAGGAGTGGCAGGACCAAAGAGCCAGAGCTCAACTCTGCAAGGACAACTAGGGGGCTCGAGCTACGGGCTCACCATAGCCCGTGCTACATGGACACTTCATTCTGAGTAGCTAAATCTGAAAAAACAACTAGATGAGAACAACTATGTGAGTACACCCTCACTGCTGCTGCCCTCCCTCCCCCCAAAGTGGCTAGCTTAGTAGATTGCCAGAGAATCTCCATCTAATACAATAAAGCATTCATGAAATAAGTATTTTTATAACTTTATTATCCTAATAATATTACTAAACAAAACCTGTAACCAAAAATATATATGATGTACATTTAAGAAACAAATCTGGCTAGCGGGTTGAGGGTGGTTAGGCTTACCAGAGTCAGCCGGTCTCTCCTCCACCACCGACACCTCCCCCCACCCTCCACCCCCACCATACACTCTCTCTAAAAGTCACGTGGCTCACCTCA